CTCCTTCCTTATCCCAGCTAAATTCTGATTAATTCAGTCATGAATGTCTATATGCAACATTTTTCAAAATTGTCAGCCAATTATTAGTGGATGTTCTTATTTATCATCCAAATATCTTTTTTTTAAAATCTTTCAAAGCTCTCAGCTGAATAACTTTTTGCATTAAATTTCAACACTTCATTTTGTATAGTATAAGAGATATTGCCTGTTCTGAATTTTTCATTTGTTAACACTTAGTTAAATACTTGTATTTTTTTTCTTAGATGACCATGTGTAGACTCATCCCCTTATTGTAACAGGCTCATAAACTTCCCTTTTTCACTATCATTTGTATATAACTGATGCCTCTAATTCATCTCTTTCCCAAATGACATAGACCTACTCTCCAATATCTACTTACAGTTTTCCTAAACCTACCTTACCTATTTTCATTTTACAATAATGTTTAGAATGACAAAATTCAGTCTCAATTCAGTATGCTATTAGTATCTTTTTAGAAATATATTCCATTGATTGTGTACAGTAACAATTTATTTGTTTGATATTACCAAGCACAGGTTCTCCCTGAGCTTTCTACAGGCATGATGCTGGTAATATAAAAAGTGAAAACAAATATCCATATTTGTATTTGAAATTTTCCCACTCCATATATTAATTTACCAGCATTTTATGTTGCTGTTCATATGGCTCTTCTTAGCTTTATGAAGGCTTCTGACTAGTTCTCTCACCTAGATGTCATTAACTGTCTTTTCCAGATCATTAATAAATATACAATATATCAATACATACATCAAGCATATCTTGTAATATTCTGTTAGTATTATTATTGTTTTTAATTTACTACTTATTTCTGTTTCTTTTTACTTTCTTTTTTTTTGTCTTTTATGTAGGTATAGTCAATGACTTTTTTTTTTACATAATAGCTGTTCAGATGGACATCATTAAAGACTCAGTAAGACAATCCAAGTCTTCCTTTATCTATTGTTCCTTTGACAATCTACGTTTCACTAAAATATTAAAAATACTAAAGCTGTGTTTTTTATTGTGCTTTTATTGTTTTGTTTTTTTTTTTTTTTTCTCTGTTAAAGGTAGATGCATCTCTACCTTGAAGTTGTTCTCAGCATCCCTCATGTCAAGAAAGCAAATAGTCTTAGAGCAACCTCAGACGCTTAAAATAATTATTATGTGTACAAAGATACTTCAGAAAAAAAAGTGTTATTTTTTTCTTTCAAAACAATCTCCTGTGATGTTTAAGACTTGTGTGTATAAGGTATATCAATTCAGATCCATTCTTTTAATTTCTATTATGATTTTTTTTTTTTCCTGCTACATTGTTTACTATGTGATGGGAAGGAAAAGAAATTCATACCCTATGAGAAAAGTCATAAATTACATATGATAAAAGACACGAAAAATATCTTTTCTCCTTTTTTAAGCTTAACTTAGGTTAGATGAAAGGAACAGGACTTTCTGAGAGGCTTATTCAGCCTTGTAAATTGATTTCAGAAACTTTATGTATATGCATGTAGGGCAACATGGAAGATAAGAGAAGACTCCAAAGCAAGTAGTAAAAGTTAGGAATATGAGGGTCAGAAATTAGTTGAAGTATGTTAAGGAGGAACAGTTCTTGCAGAACTTGAAAATGCTGACAAAAGGCTTGAAGTTGAGATAATAGCAGATAAAGAGTAAGTAGGGGTAAAAAGAAAGAATGCTATAATAGTAAATGAGGGGCAAGGATAAAAAGTTGTGTTGCTGTGTTTCATGGAAAAAAAAAATGTGAAAAGATGTTTTTAAAGATACCAGACAGATGTTGCATTAGTTGTTATTGCATGAGGACCTGAGAAAGGAACACACCCTTGAGGAGAGAAATCTTGACAGTGAGAAAGAAGATGAAGTAAAACGGGAGCTCATATTGCTGTGGAGAGAGAGCTGGGGGAGAATTCAAATACACTACTTTTAGTACTGATGATGCAAGCTCACACTGTGAGCTGTATCTGATGTATGAATAATATAATGTTCTGGAAGGAAGACCAAGAGGTCTGATTGTCTGTGTGTTAACTGAAGGCAAACAAGGGGCTACCCAAGACATAGTTAAGAGGTGGTCCAAGTGAAGGGTGACAGGCTTAATGATCATCATCAAGAGACAGTAGCTATAACTGTGATGAGATAGCTCACAGGAAACATTAAGTTTAAAGTTCCTTCAGGATGCACCAGAATAATGTATGAAGGAACCACATGGGGAGGATGGAGAAAAGCCAAGAGTACATAACATCTGACACTGCTCCTGATGATTATCTGACATCTGGTAGTATGGCAAGCAAATATTTTTGTATCCTTTGTTATCCTGTTACTGGAAAGTTCTCAAATTTTATGCAAATCTACACAATAAATTATCTCAGTAAATATTTTCTGGTTCAAACATTTTCATAAAACTGAAAGTAATTTTTAAGTACCTTTCCCTTGGATTTTCAAGTATCATATATACCTTTACATTAGAGCACTCAAAGGAACAGCTGAGGGGCATGGTTGTTGAGTAAAACAAGTCTAAAAGAAAAATGCACAAAAATATGGTGGCAGGGTGGGTTACATTGTCCTTTGCATAATTCTCACTCACGTAATACTGTGGTAGTCAAGGTCGGCTGAAGCACCCATACTCACAGTTCCACGTTCAATCAGGCAGTAGCTGAAGGAAGAGACCTCCCCCAGAATATCTTAAATCTTGGGGTGTGTTATCAACTGGAGCTGGAAGATACTGACCTCCAGGTCACATTATTTTTTACTCACTTGCATACTTTCTATTATACAAAAGAAATGTCCAGCTTGTTCTGACTGGGGAGGGTGTCATATCTTAACATTGTCTCAAGTTGTATGTTTATTTCACAAACACTACACAATGCACATCATTACTTCAGAAGTTAAATATTAGGCAGTGGTAGATTACTACCTTTTCAAAATATTTCAAAAGAAAAGATGAATCTTGCTGTTCCCTATTTATGCTCTTCCTTTAATTTGTTTAATTTTGGTAATTTCCAGCATGAAAATACATGAGAAGATTTTGCTCCTATTAAATTTTAGATTGTTTTACTTCTACTGGGCATGAGTTTCACTGGTTGAGCTATCTGGTTTTTGTATAGAAAGATCTCTGTAGTGAAAGTTTGTTTAAAAAACATTCCAGTTTTTTAAGTATTTATTTATTCTATTTACATTCTTAGAAGAAATATTTCTCCATGCTTTCACCATTATGAAAGCTTTTTCTTTATTGTTTAAAGAAGGTTCTATTTTTTCACTAAATTTAATTGACAGTTTTGATGAAATATGAATTGTCATGAATGTAATTTTGTGCTTGAAGTGTAAGGCACATTTCTTTGATCATACTTTCTCTCGCATGAAAATACAGCAGTATGTATATGCAACCAACTCTCCACCTCAAAGAGAAGTACCAAAGGGAAACATTATACTGCTCACATAATTCTTCTTAGAGATTGAGAGAAAACAAGCTGTGTATGACAGACGAGAGTTATAGTGCTAAATGCAGAACCGGTGTTCACTCACAGATACAATGGTGATAGAGTGGTAATAAGAACCTTTGCAGAACAGAATAGGGAGAAAAGATAAACTTCTTATTTCACTCAGTCATTTACTTAGCTCGAAGGTACCATGTTTTCAGAAGCTGTGAGGAAGAAAGCATTATTCTTTAGCGTTATGTGAACAGTTTAATGTACAGGGTTTGGGGGGGACAATATTTGTTAACGTTTATATGCTGCATTTTGGAAGAGCTTGTTTTATCATGGTATAACTCTAATATGATTTTTTTCTGTGAAAACATCTTTTCAATACATCTGTCCACACCTGAAAGCTCCAAAGTCACAAGCATTATGAATCTAGCAGTTAGAGATATACTTTACCAAATTTATGCTTAAATGGGAATAATTTATTGAAAATACTATTCGATGGCCTCTGTTCTCAGATACAAAAAACTGTGTTCAGTGCACGATGAGTGAGACAAAGTTATGACAAAAAACCTAACAAAAAACATAGCAGCCTCATGACTATTCTATGCAGTGGCTTCTAGTGTGTGGGGGCTCTAAGGGATTCCTGAAATACAGTGTATCTATGAGTGCCTCCAAACCTGAATGGAGTAGTCAGGAGGAAGTCTGTAGACATGGATATAGCATCTAATATATGGAGAATTCCTAAATACATGGTTAGGAATTGAGGAACATGCAAGTGGTGGAAATGTGACTTGACATCTAGCCTAGCCTAGTCATCAGAAATCCATGATAGATTTGTTCAATTTCAAAGGAACAAAATACATTAAAAGCTACTGCTAGGGACCACACACTATTTCTGGTAAGACTGGGGACAACAAAATGAGAATAGCAAAATGCATTTTGGAAACTTTTCATAAAGAGGAGGGAGGGAGTGAGGCTGGCCAGGGAAAGAGAAGAAGAAAACAGATCTCCTCAACCTGGCAGGGAGGCAGAGCTGTGGGTATCCTCAAGCTAAGCCTGTAGCCACCATGATACCTCTGGACACGCCTCAACATCGTTACAGGAAAGCTATTTGATTTATGGGTAAGGGGAAAAATGCAAATCAAATGCAAATTAAACAGTTTCAAACTGCAGACTGTAATTTAGGCATAGCTGTAGGAAGCAGTACAATTCGTAGCAGATACTTGCACAACTAATCAAGCATGACTTTACTTGTGTGTGTGTCTCAATTTCTAGTTGCTAAAATAAAGACAATCTCTTTTTTCCCATTAACCCATTAACCTAAAGAGGTGGGCCTCTGTACCAAGAGTCTTTCTCCCCCTGTTTCTCAGAAACTGTCTTTTTGCCCTGAACGTCTATATGGTAATGCACTACAAAATACAGGTATAATTAACAGATATATGCTATTCCTAATTGATGCTTTAACCAGCCCTAACTGGGGTACTATGGCAAAAGGGATGGTGACTTACAGGGAGATTTGAAGGAGCAGATATTAATGACTCCTTACACACCCTGCTTGAAGTAGAGCTCAAAACCATGATAATACATCAAGTTTCTGAACCTAATCTCTGCAATAGGTCTAAATTCTGGCCAGAACAATGGCATGCACGATAGCACTTGTTGAGCTGATCTAATAAAAGCTTACAATTTCCTCTAGGTTTTAATGCAAACAGTTACTACATGACAAAATTCAATTGCCTTAATTAGGGTTTTAAAAAGTCTTAGATTAAGTTACCAATTGGACCTAAAGCCTACTCAAGAAGCTCACTGACTAGTGTCTTGGGACAGAACCTAAACCAATGTAAAGAATGAGAAAAATGAGAATTGTCCGGCTTACTGTCTTTGTAAATTGGAAACTGTCCTGCATACTTTAGGATTTTCCTACCCATTTGCCTTGCTACCCATTTACTTTCTCTGAAACAATTATTTGCCTTGTTAATTTCTAATTATTATGTTCTTAAATTGGAAGGCACTAGCATTATTTTTTGGAATCTCAGCTGTCCTTGCATTTCACCTCCTGTTTCACTCACTGGGAGGGAGAGGGAAGATATGGAAAGAGGTATGGTTTGCTGTGCTTGGAATGAAGTTGAAAACATATAGAATACTTGTTTTTATGGGAAATCTTTTAATTGTTTTGAAATCTGAAATTTTATCACACAACTGAGCTAATTAGAAAATTTAAACATGTATCTGGTATTATTATTTCTGAACTGGTTTTACAAGAAGCATTTAGTCACAGAAAAATGGTAATATGAATTAAATGTACTAAAAAAAAAGAATCCTAAAATTAAATGAAGCATAGTTGCATTTTGGATTTTCTAGCTTCAACACCATTAAAGGGATTGTCTGCTTGCTTGCTTGTGTGCTTAGCCTTGCAGTTTATGTAGTTCACTGCTTTTAATTTAAAGTAAGAAGAAAAAGTACCAATGAAATAGTAGCTACTTTTAACAAAGGCCTAATGTTTCTGTAGTCTAAATGAGTGTTGTCTAGATTCTTAAAGTACTGTACAACAAGAATCCCCTTCCAACTAATGCATTGTGATTATAATGACAGTAATAAAATATGTAAGTTTTTTTTCTTGTAGTGGGCAGTCACTTAAAATGACTCATTGATGAAAGATGCTGTCTGAAAGGTTATACTTCATAAAAAATACTGTATATAAACAGATCACTATATTTGAAAGACATTTTTAAAATTGCAGCACTAGAAATGTCTTTTAAGAATGGATAAATTAGTTTAGTCCATCATATTTTAGCTTTAATTCATTTAGTCCAAGAAAATCCTTCTTCACTTGGCAGACAGTCATACTTCATCTTAATTTGGCTATTTTATAAAGCTTGTGTTGATTTCACTTGTAATATTTTGCTGCCTTTTAATGGAGACAGATTGTATTTCATATTTACTTCACTTTTGTTACACAGATCTTAAAGTGACACTGTAATAAGAAGCACTTGTATTTTACTTGACTGAATAACATAAAATGTGTATGATAAATATATATGAAAAAATATTCATTATCCTGTAAAGTATCAGCCTATATTTTTCTAGACGGATAAAAGTCTCACCTTGTTTAAAACCTGTCCTGACTGTACCAGCATTTATGTCTGACATCCTAGCTTAGCCCTACTATTAATGTAAAACTGAGAAAACAGAAATGCAGCCATGGGATGTGAAATTGTAATTTTATTTTGTAATAATGCAAAAGCAGAGTTTACAGAATTTCCACCTTTGGAGATATGCAAAAATCAGACATGACCCTGAGCAACATGACCTGACTTTGAAGTTGGATCCAATTTATGACCGAGTGGACCGTTGGACCAGATGACCACCAGAGATCCCTTCTCACCTCAAGTGTTCCATGCTTATATGATTCTGCATTAATATGTTCCAAGTATCCATCAGAATAGATCAAATTGCAGAAACAATATGATAAAAGGCAAGTAATGATGCAAGTTTTGTACGGATGCAAGTAAGTCATGCTATCAGTCGAGTAATTCATATCTTCTCCTCATGTAGCTTAGGCTTATACGTGCTGTTAAGAAGGTGCATGGATTGCATTAAAGGAAATGTAAGGTTAAATACATGTTGAAGTGATGGAATAGATTGGGTTAAAATTAGAAACCCCTTAGTATCATTATTTGTAATTTTGCTTTGGCATCTAAAGAACAACTACAACATAGTAAGAAAACTTAAATGCTGAATGTACATATTACATGCTCCCCTCCTGGAAATCATTACAATCCACTAGCAGTATCTGAGTAATGACTTAGAAATATACGGAGACTGAAAACTCCAAAACACTTCAGTTCAGGTTAGAGATGAACCTTATGAAATTAATCCATACACAAGAAAGTATCCATAAAAATATAATTAGTTTGGAATGGAAAGAATTACAAAGGATCAGATCCAAAGTATAACAGACATCGGTTATAGGAGCCTAAGCACAACACTGCACTTCAAAACTGCTCATTCTGTGGCTGCCTAGCCCTAGTGGTGCTTATTCTTGACCAGAAAACGAGAATTTTAATTCAGACACCCCACTTTCCACCTAGTGAATAGACACAATCCAGAGGAAAATGTCATGGAAAGAGAATATATCCTCTACTTTACTTGCTGTTTTATTTCCAAAGTGACAGGAGAAGACGATCTCTGCAGTTTACAGAGTATCCGGTTGGAAGGGAGGCATCCTGAATTGTGAACCCTGTTCCCAGGACTGTTTATGCAGTATACCCTGTAAAATCATGAACAGAAAAGAAGAACTACTCTGGCAGCAAAACTATCTGTTTTGATTGCACAAGAGATTAATTAAAAGGGTACAGGGTAACTGAGGAAGCTGTTGTAACTAAAAGCATGAAGCAGGAGATCGGGGCTGAAATACCTCTATTAACACAGAGCTGGCACATGCTCAAGTAAAATGTGATACATGAAGCAGAATAAATCAACAGTCTATATGAATTGTGCATTTTTAGTACAACATAAGAATTAAATTAACTAAATGCCTGCACTGGCCAAAGATTGGGATAAGCAGAAAAATAAATTACTCCTTTAGACAATGATAAAAGGGAAGGACTGGCTGGAGACAAATCAGTCAGACTATGCTGCTAGAATGACCTAGCCTTAGGTACTGAAGACACGGCTGAAAATAAAAAAAGTAAATTTAAAAACAAAAGATGTGGTGTTAAGATCCTCATTAAATATTTCTTTGGTGTTATTTATTTTCTACTTGAAGAGCCACTATCTCATGAAAAAAGACAGATGGATGCTTAAGTACAACATTTTTTGAAGGGACTGTGTATCATCAGTGGATATGAGAATAATATGTAAATAGGTTAATAGATAATAAGCAGCATTTTCATTAGATACAGTAGATTTTTGTGTATAGTTTAATAGTTCACACAGGCTTTGTCTGGTCCAAGATGACAGTGGTGGGATAAAGGTGCCAATAGGTATGTGAGTTACTAAGGAGGATGGTGCACAACCTCTTTCACAAGTCTCACGTTCTCACTGCATAGTGCTGCTGTCATTCATTCCTTCTGCCTTGTGTACTCTCTCTTGCTGCTGAACTGTAGCTATTAAAACACCACTGATAGTGGCCAGCACTCAGAGATCCACAGTGGTCAACCGGTAACAATTCCTTAAATTCTTCCTGAGAGAGCCATGCTCTAGCTCAACACACAACAGCTCCATGGGCACTTGTGTACTATTATCTATACTAGTTGGGTAGATCAATGCTGCAGAGCCCTTTCAATTCATAGTTCAATAACCAACATATACACTTGTCATTATGCCTGCTGACCTGAGCTGAATATGCAGAATCTTGGTGCAGTCTCTGCAGCAGTAGTAGAATGTGCCCTCTCTCTGCCACGCGTGTCAAACGTTCACATGTAGCTGGAAGTCTTCCTTAGGATTTGTCACCATTGCAGATTATTGGGGAAAAAAGAAAATCCCAGATGTTTGTTTGGCAACAGCTCTGAGTCTAGAAAGCTTGAGCAGTTTCCCAGCAGCCAGGAAAGATTCCAAAACTCACTTGGAGCTGTGGTTACACTGCCCTGTTCAAAACATTTGGGTAGAACAACCTGAATAGGATTAGTTCAGAAATGTTTCCCAGCTTCTTTCTATTTATGGCAAGAAAGTGTTTGGCTAGGGCTCAGTCAGTCCTGACTCTGCAGTGTGAGTGACTAAGCACCATTAAGAAGCTCTCAGGAAAGCTAAGCATCTTAGTTAGTCTTCAAAGCCTGGACTGACTGAGTGTCAAAAGCTTTAATGTGGTTAGAGGCCAAGAAGAGATCTTGAGGTCACTTCTGATGGTCCTTTTCTCATCCATGCTGAGTAGTGCAATAATTATGGTGTGCAAATCACCTGGAGTACACTGCCTTCTCTGGATACAACCGGTAACATTTTTGGGGCTTATGTATAAACTAGTGACAAACATTGCAAGTGGACCTGTCATTTCACTACCTACCCACTGCACTGGGATTATTCCATCAAATCTTAGCATACGTTACAACTGGGTGGGCTTTTACTCATTCTTTCTTCTTCATGCTAACACCGATGGTATACTACCCCACAAAAAAAAAAAACCAAACCAAACCAAACCAGCCCAACCAACCAACCAAACAAAACAAAACCCCCAAACCAAACAGAAAGCCTACATGCATAGTGATAGCTGCAATCTGCAGTTATCCTGAGACAAAAAAAAAGACCCAGCGAGTCTGACCTGCACCAACTAACGGTCTGTGGGATCGCACTGCTAGGTAGGACGACACTACATGTCCCATTGCCTCAAATAGCTGTCAGGAATAGTGGTTGCTTATGTGGGGTCTGTAGAATACTGATGAAGAAATAAGTAGGTGATCCCCCCTTTCCTAGGAGCAGTAAGTAACAGGATCAGTAAGAAAAGGTGGGCAAAGACCAAAGCCAAAGTAGATTCATTCGGTGGCAGGGATTTGTGTGGTCAGTGAAAATGCACTGCTGGGGGCTAAGTGACTAGTGAACATTTAAAAACGGCTTTGTCACTGTTGAGTACAAAGATGTTGCAAACCAGTTGGTTCCGACTTTTTCTTCCCCAGCTGTGCAAGACACCTGGGCTTTGGACTGGGGTAGAAAACACTGGCAAGAGATTTCAGACACCAGAGGCCGGAAGGTCTGAGTGGGCAACATGAAGCAAAGCAGTTAAGCAGAATTGGTCTCATTTGTAAACAGGATGTGGTTATTGGGTAAGAGCTGGAGGCCCTGAAAAAGCTCTGAAATACAGCCGCTAAATCCTGAGAGATAATGGGGATGTTCACTGAACTATAAAATTAAAAGGCCTACTACTGTTTCCACTGATGTCCCGGTGAGGGGGAAGGTTGCCACTAATTTTTTACAGGAAAAGCTGAAGTCCCAGAAAGCGTTGATTTGTTGAATGGCATCAACCAGAAAGTGCAAGGGAGGAGAACTGCTGTTGTCTCTACCTTATGTGTATTGTATCATTTGCCTAAATGTTTGCAAGTATTGGTACAATGTTGCAATTAATGAATGAGGTTCTCCTTGTATCTGGTGCTAATATAAACAGAAAATGAAATCCAATCTCTCCTCTAAAAATGTGTAGTCCAATTAAAGATTTGATTCAAGGGCTGGGCACATAGAAGGTAAGAAAATGAAAATGACTGTAGTATGCAAAAAGAGTGCTTTTAAAGTCCTTTAATTCTTCATCCAGTTTTGAGGTTTGGGCTTTTTTTTTTTTTTTTTTTTTTTTTTTTTTTTTTTTTTTTTCTGTGATATTACTGTAAATAATGAGGCTAGTTGTGTCAGGAAAGTTATAACTTGAAATGTTTACAGGGCCTGGCCTAACATGTCAGTAAACAACAGAACTCAAATGGACTTTAACTTACATTCTTAAAATTATACCTGTACACGCCTTTACTATTTAGTCAAACATGGCCAAGTTCTAGAAGTTTTCTTCCCAGTTTACTCTGTTACAATAAGCATGTGTGAATAGATGGAAAGAGTGGATATTATTTCTGTAACTTATAAACTGTCAGCTAAAATATGTAATGGATAATTACATATTGAAAATGCACACATTTCTCTCTTAAAATTAAGCTAATTTTTCTATCAGAAATTTACTGATCCTTATTTAAGTCTACTTCTTCCATTTCTAGGATTGTTGCCATCTCTGGAAGCATTCTTTCACATTTTACCAAGATGATTTGAGGAAGTGGCCAACGGTCCTGGTAACACTAGGCAACAGCCATCTACGTTCATGACTGTCACTTTATAAGAACGTGTAAACTGTCTTGGTTTCTGTCAATTGTTTATGTATCATATACCTGCTGGCAATATGCTGTAAACTGACATGGGGTTACAGGTCTAAGAAGAGTTTGTGGAATGTTTACTTTTGAGGTTATGATGAGGAAAATTTTACACAGTGAGAACAATCAGCCATTGGAATAATCTCCCCAGGGAGGTGGTGGATTCTGCAGCACTGGTCACTTTTAACATTCAGCTGGACAGGGTGCTGGGCCATCCTTTCTAGACCGTGCTTTTACCAGAAAAGGTTGGACCAGATGATCCTTGAGGTCCCTTCCAGCCTGGTATTCTATGATGCCTGCATCATAACTATTTTGTTGCATTCTGATTACACTTATCCCTCTCAGCACTATTACCTTTACTATGCTAATAAAACATGCCTGGCTATCAGGCTGAAAATACCACTTAAAAGCACCATTTTACTGCGTGTGGAACCTTTTACTGCTAAGGCATTCACGCGGTAGCTAGGAGATGCGAGCCAGTGTCTTGAATCACATCTCCATACGTTTTCCCTCCAAAAGTGATGAATGATCTCCCAGTTCATTTTAGTGGAAAAGAAAGTTCAGCAAAGAGTCACAAATAATAATTAACTTCAGCAGTGTAACGACGAGTGAGACGAGAGTACTATCTACTGCCTGACCACTGACTAGGTAATCCGAAGATGCAACCTAGTACTAAAAGAAAAATAAAAGCATAATACAGAACAGTACCCCGCAGCGGTTAGGGGAAAGAAACGTGTAACTCTGTGCCACCTGCTTAAATTAGTTTTGCCGCGGTAAGAATGAATGGAAGCGGCTTCCTGACCCCAGCAGCTCGCCCTGCAACGCCCGGGCTGGCGGTGGCTCCTTCGGATGGCGCGGGCTAGCCATCCCCGCGGTACCCCCGGTCCAGCCGCTTTTGGCTCGGCACGGCTACGGGGCCGGGGCCGGGGCTCTCGCCAGCGCGGCGGTTCCGGTGAGGGGCCCGGGGGGCTCGCAGCCGCTGGGAACGCGCCTCTCGGCTCGCCCCCAGCCCCGCTGCCCCGGCCCCGGCTGACACCCGGCACGGCGCCCAGGCCGCCGCCGCGGGATGGGGCGCAGCTCCCCCCGGGGAACCTTACACGGGCTCCCTCCTCCACGGCAGCCCGGCCCCGCCGTGCGGCTCCAGGGGCAGGGACGGCGCTGCCCACGGCAACCTCCGGCCGCCTCTCACCACCTGTTACCTGCTCCCGCCTCCGCCTGTCCGGCGGCCAACACCCAGCTCGCCCCTGGCGCGGTGCCCCACTCGCCCCACTCCACCCGCACCCCTCACGCCGCCCCGGCCCCGGCCCCGGCCCCGGTCCCGGTCCCGGTCCCGGTCCCCGCGCGGCGTGGCGCTGCGTGGCAGGGGGGAGCGGCCACGGCCACATCCGGGTGCCGGCGGTCTTAGCGCGCATGCGCGGCCGCCCGGCCGCTGCGAGGCAGGGCGCAGCGGTAGCCAGCGCCGCTCCTTCCCGGGGCGCTGCGCTTCCGCGTTGTCAGGCAAGGGGGAGCGACCGTGAGGCGGGGGAGGCGCCCTCCGCGGCGGCAGGAGGAGGAGGAGGAGGAGGAGGATGGTTGTGGGGGCGGGCGGCGGCAGCGGCAGCTACAGCCGCCGCCGCCGCTGTCAGCAGCCGGGAGAAGCCTTGTTGGTGACTGGCTGGCGGCACACGCAGCTCTGAGGAGGCGGAGGGTGCCAGAGCCGAGCCGCGGGGCGGGCGCCTGCAACGGGGAGGGGGGGGGAGAGACTGCGGCGGCGCGGGGGGAGACCGGCACAGGCACTCGCACACACACACACACACACACACACACGCAGGGACGGATGGCAGCGGCGGCCGCGGCCGCCACGATGTGAGGCGGGCTGCGCGGGGGGGGGGGGGGCGGGGAACGCGGAGGCTCCGCGGAGCGGAGAGGCAACCCGCACACCCCCGGCGGCGGGAGGGGCGGCGGGGCCCCGGGCGAGCCGTGCGCCCCGGCGGGCAGGGCGCGGAGCGGCGGCGGGCGGCGAGTCCGGGACCGGCGGCGGCGGCGCTGGTGGGCTGACCGGCTCCTGTTTGCCTGGCTCCAGTCTCCCCGCGGGCCCCGATGAGGAGCTCCCCTGCGCTGCCGGACTGACGCCTCGCCGCCCTCCCTGCGGTCGAGGAGGAGCGCGGCGCCCCGATCGCGGGCCGCCCCTGTGCCGCCCCCCCCCCCCCCCCCCCGGCGGGGGGCTCGTCTGCCGCCTGCGGGGCGGGCGGAGCGGCGCGGCGGGCGGCGGCGAGGCCGGGGAAGCGGGGAGCGGCGCCGCCGGAGACCATGAGGAAATTTAACATCAGGAAGGTGCTGGACGGCCTGACGGCGGTCTCCGCCGCCGCCTCGGCCTCGGCCGCCGCGCAGCAGCAGCAGGCGGGGAACCGGGAGACCGAAATCCAGGAGACGCTCCAGTCCGAGCACTTCCAGCTCTGCAAGGTGAATGACTGCTGCGGCCCCGAGCCGGCGGGCGGCCGGGGAGGGGGGCGCACCGCCGCCCTGGGCTCTGCGGGCTTTGCTCCTCGGTACCGACCTCGCCGAGCCTGCCCGCCGCTCCTGTTTACTTGTTTGGATTTATTATTTGGCGGGGGGGGGGGGAAGGGAAGGAAGCGGTGGGTTTCCGTAGTCCTCTTTCCTGGGGAATTTCAGGGTTTGTCGTCTTCAATGCTCTGTCGTGCGTGTAATACTGACCGTGTCCATGAAGGCTTCGTAGGAAGAGTGGGATGCGTGGGGGAAGAAGTGATACCTAGCTGTAGTGCAGATCTGATTATCGCGGCATTTGAGTAGAAGCCTCTGCTAATGGGCCCGAAGGACAGGGGATCTGTCACTCAGCAGTATTTGGAAATGCATTTATTCTGTTCCTTTGCGCCTGAAAAAGGCTGTTGACGTTTGTGGTGGTTTCGCTGCAGTGTGTTGCCAAGTTGCCGATGCTGCTGTTGCAAATCTCCTCAAGAGACAAGGGAAAAGTTCCTGGTTGTTTGTGGTTTTTTTTTCATTATTTTATTTTTTTTATTTTTTTTTTTATTTGCTTGCACGTGATACAATAACTGCAGTTTGTGTCTGCACACTTCAGAAAATGATGCAGCGAATTAATCCACCAGCTGTACCAAGAGGAACAAAACTGATTTGAATATCAATACCCATTTTTATCTTTACAATGCACCCATGGCCTAGCTTGATAGGGATGAGCTTGTTTGTGGATTCTCCTTCTTGTTTTATCTAGTATTGCAGGTGTTTATGTCACTTTCGCAAGTTGTTCACCAAGGACGTGGAAAAGAGCAGAGCTGTTACCAGTCAGATTTTATTCACTGTGAAATACTGAGAGTTGCGGGGTGTGCCTGCAACTTCGGTGAAGTAAAAGGAGTGTAACAGAAGTTTGCTATGCATTTATGAGATCCTAAAATAACTCTGCTTTAAAGCAGGGTTCCACTAAAGGTTTCGAAGTGGAACAGCTAGCATTTATGTTGCTTATGTTGTGTACGTTTATAACGAAAATAAGAGTAGGTGACACTTCTATTATGTTCTCTAGTCTGATTAATTGCAGCCTGAGAAGTGTAATGGAGTTATTGCTTGGCCAGTTACCAAATTAGTCTTGCCTAACCGAAAAGCTAAATGTGCCAATAGCTTCATATTAAGAAAGAATCCCGTGGTTGAGAGTTTTTTTGCTTTGTTTGGTGGGGTGTTTTTTGGTTTTGTCTGTTTTGGGGGCTGTTTTTTCTCTTTGGGGGAGGCAGAAGGTGAGAGATTGATTCTGTGGAGCTTGGGTTGTTTTTTTTCTTAATGTGCTGAGAGAGGTTGCACTGTCATATGGGGCCTGTTGGATGCAAATTGAAGTGATTCTCAGAAAAGCAGGTCTAGTAATTTGCAGTTGTTCTAATGACAAGTCTGGCTTTGTTGCCAAACTTCCTAGGAACATCTCAGATTTTAATAGTTTAGTGGCTTTGTTAGAGCTGAAAATAAGATTACTCAGAGAATGAGGTAGATGAAAAAATGAAATGCTGAGCTGATACAGTCTTTGTACAGAAGAAATGTAAGAATCAAATTAAGTTTCAGTAAGTATGACTGCCACTTGACGATGAAGGATGAATGAATAATTGACTAAAAAAATAATTTACAGTTGATTCATGTAAGACTGCTGATTTTCTCTGTCTGTTGTTAAAATGCTTGGTAGTTCCTTTCTTAACTGTGATTAACACTGAATCCTGTTCCATAACATACATGGTTCCATTTATAATTCCTAACATGATTCCATTTATTTTTGATCTGCTGCTTGACCCATCGTTACTGCGATGATCTGACTTGTTAGACTGTACGCCATGGTTTCCCCTATCAACCTTCAGCCTTGGCATTTGATCCTGTTCAGAAAATACTGGCCATCGGGACTCAGACTGGAGCACTAAGGCTGTATCCTTTTGTATTCTGAAGCGGATTTGGTGCACCTCATACATGTGACATTTTGATTCAGCTGCTGGAACCATTCAGATGTCTGGTGGGAACCAGGTATGCAGGAGAGGAGAAAAAAGCTCTGTTTTCTGTTGGTGGGTGGCTTGGCTGTTCTGGTTGTTCTTTGTGTCAGTTCAGGTTGTGTTAGTGATGTGAGGTATGGCTGCGTAGTCCCTGTTATCTCAAGTTAATATATATATTCTGTAGAGGGTTAGTAGTGTGCTGACAGTTTATAGCTGCTGACTGCAAATCTAAAGAGAGACCTGGACTGAGCTCTGTTTCATTGTTCTGCTGTATCTGCTAGGATTGAAAAATTTTGTGTTGCCCAGTGGGGGTTTTTTGGGTGTTTTGTTTTTTGGTCTTGATCTTGAGATAAGCTTTGTAAAACTGTAGCTACCTGCTACCGATCCTATGTTGCCAAAAGATGGTTTCAAGTGAGGACACTAAAGGGTACAGGAAATGTATCTCATTAATAGCTTCCAAGTGACTGAGATGAGCAGAATGAACTTGTGGAATAAAGCACCAGTAACCCTGATTCTTTTTGTTCACTAAAAAGTGAACTAGCCATATGTTCATAGCCATATGGTACCATAGCCATATGGTACTATCCACACCATGTAACAACATATGTGTTTAAACTTTTATTTTTAAAAGAAGATGCCCTGTAGATTCTTTAATCAACACTGCTATTGCCCAAACCTTACTCTTCAGCAGAAGACAATGAATTGAGTTTTCTGTTGTCTTGACATTGACTGAACTCTGACCTTTCTGGGAAAGGTTTAGGTCATCTTACTAGAAAAATTGACTTAATCCTCTTTAAACTGTAGATAAATCACATCTTTTCCTTTTCATTTGGTGCTTACGTTAGTCTGTAAGTAGACCTTTTTTTTGTTTCCTTCTGTAACCTCACTACTCTGTTTGTAAGGTTAATTGCCTTAAGAGGGTTGTCTCTTACAAGTTGAAAAATTAGAACTTCAGTATCAAATCCCAGCCTTAAAGAAGAGGCAGAAGTGAAGTAGCTTGTATGGTATCTATAATTATATCTATTATGAACTCCCAAGATTTCTTAATTTAGAGTATGAGTAACAGTAATGACCATGCAGTGCTCTTAATGCAGTATTTGAAACTACCTTTAACTCCATAAATTTTGGTTTAAAAAAGGTGATAAAGTCGATTTAAATGAAGAATGAAATATGGGTCGGTGGGTGGTGCTGTTAATTACTCTCATATTGGTAGAACAGATGAGAAAGCAGAGACCCAAAAGTAAGGATTTGGGTTGAAGGAAAAGGAGAGATCAAAATGCACCTATTTAGAGCTTACTCACCTGTAATTTTGGGCAATGTGATGTTGTAGTTTGGATAATGATGACTTGATAAAACCTATTTACTGGCAGTCGTCTATGATTACACCTGTGAATTCTTGGACTGTGACTTGCTTTCTAAATAATCCAGAGAAGTATTCCAAGATCGTGAGGGAAGAAACAGTCACTGTGAGAGGAAGCAGCAACATTGACAGAAAAGTTATTTCCTAAGGGAAGAAGTTTCGTGCAGAGGGTGATACATTGGTGCTCACCTAACTTGATGAAGATTAATATGCTTCTCAGTAACTTGATACAGATCATGGTTCTTATCACGGTTTTTGGAAGAACTAGTTAAACGCCCTCAACCTCAGCTGATAGCTTAACCCTGTAGCTCAACAACACTGCAGAAGTTGCATCTCCTGTGATTACTGACTCTTGAGATGGAGGACCTCAGGCAGAAGGGATAGATGCAGACACATTTTCAATATAAAACCAGCTTCTTGCTTTCTGCCTAGTGAAACCAGTTGGAAAAATACTTTTTGGGAAGGAGTGAAACTCTCAAGAAGTGCGTATTTCGTTCTGTTGCTCAAAGATGAAAACATAACCAAAAATTGCTTGTTGATTTACAGGATGCTTTGTCTGCTAAGGTTTTTACAAACAGTGAATTATGTGTGAGCATGCATTGAGGAGCTGCTTACTCTTTAGAGCTGCAAAAGTGTTTTTAATTGAGACAAGGTGTGGACTAGAAAGACTGAGATGCAGTTCATTGATAAGTAAATTCTAAAAGTCAATCCTCATTTTATTCTGCGTTCATATTGTGAGAATATAAAAGTAAATGAATGATAATGCTTCTTCATTGCTTACCAGCAGATGGGAGTTGGATATTAGTGTTTTCCTTGTATTTTCAACTACAGGTGCATCTTGTCACTCTTTTACTTCCTATTGTAAGTAGGTGATCTGAGAAATTGTGAAGCAAGTTCCTTTCAGAAAGAGTATTAAAGATAAAATATTCTGAAATCGAGGAATGATTCGACCTGTTTTAGATTTCATTAATACGTGAAGAAATTAATATTGCAGTCCTGACTGACTTTGGGCCATTTATCAGATAACCCCCTTACAGAAAGCATTTTCTGTATTTCAGCAGTCTGCAGTTCGGGTACTTTAACTTCAAAACCAGTATTGATTAGAACAGATTAACGTGAGCAGGTATTTTCTTAACTACACTCCCATCTCATTCTTCTTTATGAGGACTCTGTGATCCCTAGTGGAGGAACAGAGAGAATTCTAATACATACATACTAAGTGTTGCCTCTAGTATTGATACAGTGACACGTAATAATGGAACTAAAGCTTTTTCTGAAGAACCAAAATCTGTGGATACAAATATACTGAGAGTTCACTGACTTAGTGTATTTATCAATTAGAGATAAAGACAAAATAACATCAACGCTGTACTGAATTCTCTGAATCAACAAAGTAATGGTGAAAATAGAAATACCTAAACTGTAGGTGGCACGTTTCACTAATTGGATTAGAAGTAGAATTACTACTTTTAATATTCTTTGTCCCTGATCCTAGGCTTGATGGGTTAAAATCAGAGGAGAGCATTGTGGAGTTGGTGACTGAGTGTACCAGAGGCAGGACTCTGCCATTCCATGCTCACAAGCAGCAGTTGGTTCTAGATCTTGCAGTTTTAAGAGGGAGAGAAGTCCATAAAAATGTTAGTAAGAGACTGCTTTTAGTGTAAAACTTAAACTTTATGAGTCACCAAAATTAGTTTGGGATTATTGACCAGCTTAATTTGAGCTGTATATCCCTTGTATTTCCTTTGGAAAAAAAAGCTTTATTCTGTTTCAAAAGTTGCTTAGAAATATTTTGAACTCTGATTTAGCTTAGGAGACTTAAAAGTAAGTGTTTCTGAGGCAGGCTGATATTGCTCAGCTGTTATCCTTAATTAGAGAAGTATTTTATGCCCTCCATAGAAAGGAACATTTGGGGCAATTAATAACAAAGGCTCTGTTCTCTTTTTGGCTATGGACAGCATGGTTCCTTTACTGTATATGAGGAAAAGTGTCAAACTGTATAGCTTAGTAGAATACAAACCTTGGAGAGAGGTCAGATGCTGGACCCACTACTCTTGACTATAGAATAACCAGTTGATGTGACGCTCTCCCTGGTGTTAGGATCTGTTGAAAAGCGGTTTGATTCTGTATTTCAGGGGAAATTGAGTGATGAGGTAGGCACAAGGGCATAAGTTCAGCCCTGAGTGATGCAAAATCTTAACTTGATCTCACATATACCCGCACTCACCTGCTCGTTCTGATCCAGTTGTTCCTCAAAGTTCACTGTGCTGATCAGTGGACACTCACTTCAGCTGCTTAAGGTGTTTGAGTCTTGGCTGGCAGCCTGGCTCTTGTGTGTGGCAATCCTGCCTCAGGCTCGCAGTGCTGGATGCTTGTGGACATGTTCCCCGCAAGGAGCAGTTGTGCTCGCTGTTGATTTCAAGCTGTAGTGGTCAGTGTAAGCTGCTGGTGACCTCCTTTGTCACTGCAGGCTGATATTTTTGTCTTTCTCCATACTTAAAAGGATTTAACTGTTGTTACCAAAGTCGCTTTCACTTTTTGATCTCATGCTTCAAACGTGTTAGATATCAAGTAATTAAAAGTTCATCTGTGCATCTTTCCGCTTCATACCCAAACCATTATAGCAGGACACACAATCCATAGTCTTTAGGAAGCTTCTGTGCATAAATGGCAGTGCTTTGCTTTCCCAGCAGAGATCAAAACCTTCTAACGAGTTAGCTGAGTGTATGTACTGGAGGTTTAACTTACCTGAATGGCATAATTGGGCAGACTTCACCCCATAATATCCTGATGGTGTTCAGTGTCATGGGTAATAGCCCTGCTTGTGCTGTCTGTTTTCACTATTCTGCTTAAAAGTCCTTCTGGAAAGTCAGATGTGATCTGAACAGGGTAACATTTAAACTTGAAAGAGGTTTGAGAAAAGTGAAAGGGACTTTTTCAGGACTTGCCTGTCTTTAGGATGTGGTTTCCTTGGAACTTTAAATTACTAATTTGACAGGGCTCTGGGCTTAATAGTTGGCTGAGCTTTTTTGCTTGTTTTTATAGGTGGTAGGATGAGCTTTGAAGCTAAAGCAGAAAAATTGAAGGAATTCTACTGCTCCCTGCTGTTTAACTGCTCCATCTTGAACAAGTTTCTTCAGTTTTCTGTGCTTTAATTTCTCAATAGCAAAACTAGGACAGTGTATCAAATGAGACATATTTTGATTCTCCACCAACATGAATACAATATCTTTATTGGTGCTTTATGCCTTAAAAATACTCTTTTGCAGCTCGAAGCTCTAAAAAGGAAGACCATTTTCACTAGAAATTACTGAGAATAAAGGAGATACCTGTAGAATAAGTGTTGTGCCTTCCACACAGACTGAATTGTGCCTAGGACTCTATTCCTAAGCAGAATAGGTTCTTTAATTAAAGTTTGAGGTGTTTTTTCTCTTGCAGTCCCAGTTCATAGGAAGGAGAAAAATTAGATTGTTTGTCATTCTGTCACTAAGTATCTGAAGATCCCAATAATTCTGAATGCCAGCATCTGTTATTTTCCTCCCATTCCTTTCAGCAGTAAAAGATGACATGCATGTAAG